TTTCCCGAGGGAACGGTTTTCAAAGTCACATGACACTGATGATCACTAATATATTTTTTTACTTGATCTATGACTTTTTGGATTTGTGCATTAGTTAGTTTCGAAATCTCAGTTGCGCTATATGAGACCAACTTGATTTTGTCTATCCCAACTCCATTTTTTCCAAATAACGTGAGGTGTTTTCTAGCCCTAAGAGTTTTTTTGCGCAAGTTATCTTGTGTGATTTTAGCAGGGAGAAATGGTTTCATTTCCTTGTAAATCTTTGATCTTGCCGTTTTATCTTTGATTCTACCATCAGCAGTAAGAGCATCTACCCTGCTCTCGAATTCAAGTGAATAATTATACCAGTCTAAGATTTCCTGCTGACCAGACTTTATTGCTGTATCGAATAGATAGGACAAGTGTTGGGCAGAACCCGAAATCATATTCTCTGATCCATTGCAAGAGGAATTAGTATTGGTAGAGCTGATATTGTCATCACTGGATATGGGTGAACAGGTGTTAGCCGAAGGCGCTAAAGGCAAGGTACCACACAGCTCTTGTATTAGACCCTGTTCTATTATTTGATTTTTATCTAGTGATTCCTGCTCATCATCTTGCTCTATGGATACTTCGAGATCTGGCTTAACTGAAGTCACATGACTCTGATCGTTCCCTGAGGGAACGGTTTTTTCTAACTTTTCCGAAATTTCCGAACTCATCCGATGCGCATCCTCATATGAATTTTCAGGATGCCTGTTAACTGCTTTTATATCGTGCGTCACTTTCGAATCCACTGTGGGAATTTCTTCCTGAGGGGTATCTGCAATGACCAATTGAGGAGCAACCACCACAGTTTCTGATACATAAGCGTTACCAAAGGTAACATCCTGGTTAGCTGATTCACGCTGGAGTTTCTTCTCCTTATTGCGTCGCCTAATATCTTCGCTGACGATTTTCTTATGAGCCTCGAGCAAGCAACTATCCATCTCTTTCTCCTCTAACTGTTTTTCATGATGGACCGCACCCGAATTGAACTTAGATGAGTTATTGTTAGGGGTAATATCATTTTGCGACTGCTTCTGTTCCACTTTCGTGAGTCTATCTCTAACTTCAATATTCTCAGATTCCAGCTCCTCGATTCTGGCCTTGAGTTTGGCATTCTCAGCATCACGCCTCTCGTTATATTTCCTATTCGCTCTTAGAAATTCGTTATTACTGCTCTTAAGTTCAGCTATTTCAGCATCAGACACTGAGAGCTTGTTTCTAAGATCAGTATTTTCCTTTCTAAGCTCTGCAATCTCAACATTCTCAGCCTCAAGTTCAGTGATACGCTGTTTCAATAATTCAAGCTCGGATGACATGATCGATAATATTCTTATAGAAGATATGAAATATTCAAAAGTCCGTTAGTATATATACATTCTATTATTAAATTGCCAAGAAAAATTTTTGGCATGCTACATCGATTTGAAATTTACAGGTAGATAGAATAAGCGCAAAAAAATAGGCCTCAGCCACGGAGTATATAGTCATGGAACCCTCATTCCAAGGCTATGAATGATCAGACTCATAGTAATATTTAGTAAAATGTTCGTGCTAGAGCTAAGATATGCTCCGGACCCAAAACATTCGTTCTAGAAAACGCATCATATAAGTCCTCTGGTCTATACTTCGCAGGAGCTAAATTTGAGTGATGAAGAAATTTCACGAGTAAGTCATCCCTCCAAGTTTTCATCTCTTTACGCTCCCAAGTAATTCCTATTAATACAGACAAGTTACTGTAATTCTTTTGTATTAAATTCTGAAGTGAGGAACTTTTATTTTTTTCGAGGGTAAATAAACTCACTCCTCCCACGATGGCGGATTCTACGCTAATAATGAAATTTTCGCGAATATCTGCTCTTTCTGCTAAGGTAGATAAGGGCGGAATTAAGGCTGGGTGGTAAAAGTCAGCTAAAGGATCTAATTCGAATTCACCAACAGATATAGTTCCAATATCTTCCAAATAATCAGAAAGTCTATTAGCGCATCTATAACCTTTGTGGATCAGCTTCTGGAATAGCTTACCATTAGTTTTGATCCAACGCCCCGTTAGAAGGTTGAGTACTTCTTTAGTTGTGACCGATTCTTGATTACTAATTCTCGAAATTAACATTTATGAAACTGATAATAGTTGATTATTACTTATGAAAATGGATATGTTCAATTACCACTTTAGTAAATTAATTTCAAACATCTTTAGCTTGATCTAAGCCGACTTGGTCCCTCTGGGACCCTTCCTTCCGCGTACTTTCGTTTATAGTATATATATGCTCTTTCCTTACCTTGACCACATGGGATACAGAGCCGAAGGCTCGATTTAGTGCCCCGACCACATCCTTTACATGGTTGTGGGATTATTACACCCTTTCGTATTTTGAACGCATGGGAGGCACAATATTTTTCTCTTGTCGAATTTTTACAGAAACGGGTCTCTCCAACTAATAACCAATTACAAGGCATTTCTTTATTATCCATGCTCACTTTCATATTTAAAAAATTCACGTGATTTTGATCGTTCCCCGAGGGAACGGTTTTTGCCAAGAAAATTTTTTATTAATACATGCTGAAATAAATACAAGATCGGGACGTAGCCCGTGATACATGACGTCTATGCTAATGTCTAATCCTACAGTCTAACTAACCACCTTACATTTACGTGACTTGGTAATTTGCCTCTCCTTCTTTACGAAATGTCTGTAAAATACATGATTATTAATTATAAGAAACTAGGATTACAGAAAACTACGATACAGGAATTTGCGAAATAATAGATTCTTACACAATATATTTATCTAGCAATTGGGATAATTTGAGCTGTTCCTCCTCAAAAAGCTTTCTCTTCTTTTTTGTGTCCTCCCGGCTTGCCATCCCGAAGTCAATCAGGTATAGGCAGTTTTATCGTTAATTAAGATATTTTCCTCCCGAATATCATTGTGGAGGATACCATGCTTGTGGATTGCTTCTAATCCCTTAATAGCCCTTGACTTTTGCTGTTCCGTAATTTTTTGGTCGCTCAACATAGTGCCAACAATGGTTAAGCCGATAACGAAGCTCATGCCTCCTCCATAATATCCATAACAGACCAGCTTTGGGATATACTTGCCTTGAATATCGGCTAGGTCTTTATAAATCTCGACTTCTTTTTGCATTTCTTCCAGGACATACGATGGGGCCTTAGATAAGTCTGCACTCTTCAAAGCAATCATATTACCACGAAACTCGCATAGGAGCGTTTTACCACTTCGTCCTTCACCTAGTATACCCTTAAACTTGAAGTCCGTGAAGCTAAGATTTTGCTGGTTTACTGGGACGTTAGAAGATGATTGTTGATTTGAAAAGGTGCTGGAAGCCTGATTAGTTAATGAAGAGCTGGATGATGATTTTGAGTTTGATCGAAGAGTTCGTGAATTATTATCCCCTTGAGCCGGCACTAGTACTTGAGGTTTAGGAGAGTTGGGATTCTCTTTCGCCTGTCGAGTTAGATAAGCATATGCCTTGAGAACTGGTGGAGATTCGGATTGTAGTGGAAGGGTTTTTGAGATCCAGAGCTTCGTGTGTTCTCGGCATAGAAACCAGTGATTATCATAGGTGGTAAGAATACCGTATCTAAGTTCGTTTCCTCCCATATAA